ACAAACAATTTCAATATCAACATGCATAAACGCTTTAGTTCAGAATAGCTGTTTTGATTCACCTGAAAATGAATAATACGATATTGATACAATTATACGCAAAATTGTAAGCATTACCATTTACCTACACATGCTAGCTCAAGTTTCATTACCATTTACCTGTACAAGCTAACTCAAGTTTATAACTCAAGTTTCATTACCATTTACCTGTACAAGCTAACTCAAGTTTATAACTCAAGTTTCATTACCATTTACCTATACAAGCTAACTCAAGTTTATAACTCAAGTTTCATTACCATTTACCTACACATGCTAGCTCAAGTTTCATTACCATTTACCTGTACAAGCTAACTCAAGTTTATAACTCAAGTTTCATTACCATTTACCTATACAAGCTAACTCAAGTTTATAACTCAAGTTTCATTACCATTTACCTGTACAAGCTAACTCAAGTTTATAACTCAAGTTTCATTACCATTTACCTACACATGCTAGCTCAAGTTTCATTACCATTTACCTGTACAAGCTAACTCAAGTTTATAACTCAAGTTTCATTACCATTTACCTACACATGCTAGCTCAAGTTTCATTACCATTTACCTGTACAAGCTAACTCAAGTTTATAACTCAAGTTTCATTACCATTTACCGATACAAGCTAGCTCAAGTTTATAACTCAAGTTTCATTACCATTTACCTGTACAAGCTAACTCAAGTTTATAACTCAAGTTTCATTACCATTTACCGATACAAGCTAGCTCAAGTTTATAACTCAAGTTTCATTACCATTTACCTGTACAAGCTAACTCAAGTTTATAACTCAAGTTTCATTACCATTTACCGATACAAGGTAGCTCAAGTTTATAACTCAAGTTTCATTACCATTTACCTGTACAAGCTAACTCAAGTTTATAACTCAAGTTTCATTACCATTTACCGATACAAGCTAGCTCAAGTTTCATTACCATTTACCTATACAAGCTAGCTCAAGTTTATAGCTCAAGTTTCATTACCATTTACCTGTACAAGCTAACTCTAGTTTATAGCTCAAGTTCCGTTACCATTTACCGATACAAGCTAGCTGAAGTTTCATTAACATTACCTATACAAGCCAGCTCAAGTTTATAGCTCAGGTTTCATTACCATTAACCTGTACAAGCAAACTTGAGTTTCATTACCATTTACCGATACAAGCTAGCCCAAGTT